GATTTATACCTTACTCATTAGTTTATAAAGTTACTTCAATGTTGAAATCAAGAGGAAAAGCTAAAGAATCAATTATTAAAGGAATGATTAGCTTCAAAGAATATTTAAAAAACTACTGGAAAGAATGATGTGAAAAAGTAGTATTATGGGAAACTGAAAACAATATTACAAACAAACTAAAAAAACAAAAAAAAGGAGAAAATTTTTTTACAAGCAGGAGAAAAATGAAAGGATGTAGTGATAAGAATATTGATAGCAGTTCAGCATCAGTAGAATCTATTGGGGGAAATATAATAAAATTAAATTAATAGAAAAAAGTACAATGCATAAATTTATAATGTGAATAAACTTAGGATGCAAATATGATATTTAGATATAATCATTATATCTGATGGGATTTTGGCCATCAGTTCCTGAGGTTATACTTAAGCAACGATAAGTTGGACCATAAAATTTTATTTTTAGTCAGTTTCAATAAATGTAAAATAAATTATCTGTATTTTTAAAATTTACACTTAATCTATTAATAAAGTTTATTGGAGCAAGACTCCGTTGGATATTAAAAAAAAAAAAAAAATAAGCCTTGAAGTAACAGAGAGCTATTTTGCAGCAAAAATTACCTTGTTTTATTAAATTTGAGTAGAAGGGAGAAGAGTTTTTTTTTTTTTTTAAAAAAAAAAAAGGAATATTGATCGTGTGAAACTAATAAAAAAATTATAGCTTGTGATCTAAATAATAAAGGATTTTCATATCAATGTACTAAGGCTGCGAAATCTAAAAAAGTACAGAAACTTAATGGAAGAAATTTTGATATAACATAATAAAAATATAACATATGATATTATCGAACTTTTATTCTGCTTGCTAAAATTTCTAAATATAAATTTTGGCTATGGCATTCACGAAAAAAATTTTGCTAATAATTATTAATTATTCTAATTTGTTATTATTAATGATCCTTATTCCGATGTACTCAAGCCTAATTAGGTAGATGGGCTGATGACCTTTTTTTTGTCTGAAACAAAGTATAGTAGTAAAGTAGAAGTATGAGCAAATATCATATTATTACATTATATAGAAAATTCTTCTACTGATTCCATCCTAAGATTCTTTATTTTTTGGTTTGGTTTCACAATTTTAATACAAGATTTTTTGATATAATAATATAGAAGTCCTTGATTTTTTTGGATCACAAGATAATTATTTGAGAAAATCGTTTTTATTATGCTTATCTATAAAATAGTTGAAAGTATTATTTATCTGGTATTGCATTAGAAATAACGAGTAAAAAATTTCTTTAATATAAGATTCTGTAACACAAAAATTTTATATTAATAATATATGTACCCCGCATCAAATTCGTACCTCCGTTAGTACCCATAATAATAATACTTAACTTTATCTATATTTAGGAAATCCTTAAACAAAAATTCATGTATTTCGATATAATTTTTTCTGTGTAATCAATAAATGTGATTAACAGTTTGATATTTAATAAATAAAAAATTTGACATCAGCTGTGTATTCATTAAATATATTAAGTATGATATATGTAGTAAAATAGATCCATTGATTCGGTAGATGGATCATCCATCTAATGAAATTTATTATTATTATTTATATATAAAACATAAAATATTTAAATTAGTTGTATTTTAACTATCTATATATAAAAATTTAAATTTATAGTTGTATTAAAAAACGTTATCATTGAAAAAACAAATTATATTAAATTAACAATAGATAATTGAATAAAAATAAATATTTGTATTATATTATGTAAAGTGATATGATAATTAATAAACTTAATAATTTTCAAATAATAATATTCAACTGGAATTATCTTATATAATCTGACAATAAAAAAAGCTTAAAATATGTGTCGCATTAAAATATAATAATATATTAACTTTTTTGATAATCATAATATACTAATAAATAATAATAAATAATTTAGATCATGCATTATGCATCTTATCAAAAAAAGAAAAATCAGTTAACAATTATCATAAACTTTTTCTGCGCTTTCTTGATAATTATTAACTGATTTTTTGATAAGATGCATAAACTATTATAACTATCAAATCTGAAGTAATAATTAATAGTCATTAATATTGTTACATCAGATTGATGGCTAATTATCAATATTTCAATATTTTTAACTCCCTTTTTTTAATCATAGCAATAATTTCTTCTTTGAAATTTTAAAAATTTTTCTCCTGGTACGAACGAAATATTATTTAAGTAATGTTTTTTAAAAAACTTTTATATTCATTACTAAATTTTTAATTTTCATACTCCAGCACATATTATCAAAGAAAGAAAAGAAAGGAAAGAAGCTAAAAAGGAGAGGTTGGCAGCGGGAGAGGTTGAATCAATTTACTTTGGTCTCAACGACCAGGATTACAAGGAACTTATGGCGCTGTCAACAGATAGGCATAAAATTATATTTTTAAAAAAATTAATTAATAATGTAAGTAATTATTTTTTTTATGATCAATATGTAGCAATAATAATAAAATAATAATAAAAAAAAGAATATACTAATTATAAATTTCTAATATTATAGGAGGTCAAATATATTGAACGAAAAGTAGGGGTGAAAAAGTTGAAGAGGCGTGGTATCCATTGAACGAAGAAGAACTTGATGTATCTTTAGGAAGGAAGAGGGAGACGTGGAGCGAAAATAAAGTTAGGAAATTTAGGCAGTATGAAACTAGGAGAGAGAAGTGGTGGAGAAAGTTGAAGGAACATTCGCACGTTAAGTTTTAGAGGAGGAAGTTGTTTTTTTTTAAAATTGAAATTATTAATAAATCATAAAAGTATTTTCATTTTCTTTATTTTTAAAAAACTATTTTTTTCTTACAATGAAAACTAAATATAATCATTATTTGTAGATAGTTAAATACAAATTTATGTATCAGAATTGTACATAGAATAAATGATAATAGCTTAAAGAATGTTAGCAACAATTCGAATACAACAATGCAGAACTATCTTTGGACTTTTTGAAACAAAGAGTAATAGATTAATTTTGGGGGACACTAAGAAATCTAAATAGATATATAGTCGAATTATTAGACAAAAAATCTACTTAACATACAACACGAGCCACCCAATTCCTAATATTCCAAATGGAGAGGCAAACACTCTATTGAATTCGAATACACGAAGATTGGTATACTAAAAACAAAAAACACATGAGAAGACAAGGAATATTATATCTAGAACAATCACAATCACTAAATGCAGATCCACACACTACAATTACATCTCCAGGACAAAAGTCAAATGGTATGAAGACCTGATGATATATATCGAAGTATGGAAGATTATATTAGGAAATATAATGCAAATGTTCTAACCATAAACAAAACACCTAAGTTAGGAAAAGAGAAAGCAAGACAAAGTCAAACGATTACCCTCCTAAAAATTCGAAACAACAATAGGAAGGATTCAAAAGAAACCCAACCTCGAATGCATTCAAGAGATTTTAATCAAATATTTCGTGAGGAAAACGCGAGATGAAACTCCTACCTCAGTAATAACTCGATGCAAGGGCTGTGAGAATACAGAAACTGATATTTGGAAAAAAGAAACAACTCCGATCCCAAAAAAAAGTCAAGATTGTACATTTAAGACAAAGTTGAAGAATTAGCACAATTACCGGTGAGTCAAGTTTTTCATCCAAGTTCAAATACAAAGCACAAGAAGAAAAACATCAGGCATGTTTCCACCAATCAAATAGAACATACTTAGAAGATCAAGAGTTCTATCTAAACCTACACAAAAAAGCTAAAATTAATACCAAGTTCTATCTTGAGAACATACTAACAGTCCAGTAATCAATCTAATATCACAATTCAAGCAGAAATTAACAAGTATAATAGTTTCATTATCCACACAGACGGATCAGTAATGACCAAACAAATAACACCCTTAAATACGTTCAAAAATCAAAGCATCAAATGGGAATAGGAATTAAAATAATCAACAATCAACAAATCAATCTTGTTGATGAAGAGGTTCTGCATTTAATTCCCAAGAGCAGAACTATGGGCGTTCTTAATAGAATTAAATTATTACCTCCCAAACCAACGGTCCAGTCAATATTTATACTGACAGCGGTGCCAGCATATCAGCAATGGCTTCACAACCATACACATACACAAAACAAAGACTAGAAAAATGGAGATCGAGCTAACCAAAGTAGAAGCACACACTGGGAACATACATAAGATGAATTGGCAAAATCTGGAGCATCCATTAATGAAAGAGTTCAATTAAATGAAGACTTGATAAATTATTTACCAATTACGAATGGGCACATAAACATATCGACACATCCATTTTGAACCTAGTAAAGTCCAACAACTAAATAAAATGGAGTAAGTATGGCGAACTAGATCTCATTCGTAGGAACGGACTGGACACATACATAAAATTTCGTCACAATGGAACAATTATCAATAACTTAACAGCAAATGTAGGTCAACAAAAGTGAACATTCAATATAAAATATTTAACGATCAGTAAAAAAGAACCTAATGGAAAGATGTTCTGACCTCTGCGAAGATGACAAATGCATTATAGAAAGATTTCCTGACCTCTACGAAGATAACAAATGCATCTTTATAAAATGTCAACAGAAAATACTCTTCACGCAATAATTTCCTAATATCACTGAATCTCGCCGTTAAAGAATCTGACATACAGTACATCAAGTAATATCGGAAGAAGGAGAATGAATAAAAAAAGAAATAAGCTCAGCTATAAGCTCCTTAACAGCCACATTCAGTTTAACCAGAGCATCTACTAAAGAACACAGATTTCAGCTTCATCGATATTGTATGTGGACTATACCAATAATTGAAAAAAGTATTAAAAAGGTTATTAAAGTAGACAGTATAATTACCAAAATATTAGATGCTACATTAAATACACTGAAATAAGGATATGTGGAATAAATAAGAGAGACGTAAATACTTTATTATATGTATAAAAGAAAAGGGAATTACAACGGATAGTAAAAAGAAAAAATCAATTAAGCATCGTCAAAACAAATAGAGATTTAAAAGTACAACTAAAAGAAACAAATATAATAACTAGAATAGCGATAGAGATGGAAGAATTTTAAATTAATAATTATGCCCTTTGTCATGGGAATGGATTTGGTTTTGAAAAAAAATGAAGAAAAAACATTGAATTATATTTAAAATCTGCAGAAAAGGAATCATTATTGCTCATTGTAGAGTTATTTGGTGTCATATAAGTGCAATTGGAATACCTAAAAGGATTTCCGTGGTATAAAGATCAGACAATTGGTGTATTTAAATAAATACCATTTGTATTACAGTTTCTAAAATATCGGATCGTATAAATTAAGTATTACAAAAAGTAAAAATAATGTCAATAAATAAGAAATATTTTACTATCAATCAACAATTAAAATATCACATCTTGGAAATATTAATGCAATATTATATGTTGCATATTGTAATATCAATGGTATAGGTGTGGATAAAGATTATCAAAAAGCATTTAAATTGGTTCTTAAAGGCAGATGAAAAAGATCATTATGACATTCAAAATTATTTAGATCGGGTGAAAGCATTTGAATGGTATAAGAAAGCTGTAGAATGTGGTGGTATTAGCAGTCAATAAGAAGTTGGAAAATGCTTTTCTGACAACTCAGCACGCTTCAAAAAAAATTGGTAAATGGTAACGAAACAATAGATAATTAACTGCAGATAATGATTGGAATAGATAGTTTTCAAGATATTAATGAGATATTGAAAGGTGGGTTTGAACTATATGTATGGTTACGAGAAAATTTTGTCAGCGTGATGCGAATTAAAGTATAAATTATAGTTACATATTAATTATAAATGAAATATATACCGTATATAGATGGAAAATCAGCCAATAAACTTTATTTTATATAATATTTGTAGATATTAATCAAAATTCAAATAAGAAAAGCCGAAGAATTTTAACTATATACAAAGAATTATTTTTTTTTCATTTTATTATCTTTAATTTTTATTATATTAATATTTCTGAATTTAATTTAACATAATCTATTGTTATATTTTTTTATTTATATTTGTAAATTGCTTTAATATTTTTATTAAATAAATATTTTTATAATTAAATTAGTCGTTATTTTTAATGTATTTTGTTCTCCCAAAACAGGATTCTTAGCCGAAATAGAATAAATAAATAATTCAATTCGATTTCGCAAGTCGTTTTAACGAGATAAATTGATTTATAATAATAATCAATCGTAAATATTTTTTTAATACTGGACATGGAGATCGGACCAGACATTTGCTTTGTCACATGCATATTGGTAGAAATTAGTTCTTATTCGTTGGTCACTTCCATGTGATAATCATCACCTTGGAGAAAACGTAAGAGCAGATCCTTTTACAATCAGCTTTCGGAACAAACATTTTCTGAAATTGTGTTTGTCTGAAGAAAATCTTGCGAACACAGTCTGGATACATTACTTTTCCATCATTCTTCCGTTCATGAGAAAGCTACTAATAAAGGAGCATATTCAGGTTTACTTAAAAATAAATCACAAAAATGAGTTATTTTAATTTCTTTTATTTATTATTTAGACCCTCATATTTAGAAATTTTAAACACAATAGGCAAAAATAAGAGTTTATATATTTTCAGTTTGGGAATTATTCTATAGAAATATCTAGTGGCAATTCTCCCAATTCTCCTCGGAAATGCCGAATCTTTGTCAAATGTTGATTTATTAGACAATATTCTAAAATGAAAAGAGAAATGGTTACACTACGACAAAGAAATAAGAAATAATAATAAAAAAAATAATATAAAACGGGATTGAAAAATGTCGTACAATTAATCACATCACATAAAGAAATATTTTTAAAAAAGGAATAACTCCTGTAACGCTAACACAATAAAACGGAAAGGTAATATTATTTCCTCAACCAGGTTTCACGAAGACTCAAAATCTAATATAATTTAAATATAATAGCTACCCCAATATATATGTTTACTCTGCATGACATGTTTTATACTACAATTTTATTCTAGATGAAAATATAATTAATAGAAGAACTTGTTTAATTAAATGAATATTTCAAATTTATAGAAAATGTATACACATAAGTATGATAAATTTTTATGAAAACTACTAACTTACTATAATTGAATATAAATTATTCTTTAAGTATTATTATTCATTAATGTAAAATTGTTTATACTGTAATATAGTATATTGGATAATTCATTTAAATCCATACTCTACATGTCAAAATATATAAGATAGAAATTAATGAAAATATAATAATAATGTTATATGAAAGATTAATAGATTTCTATTAATTAATTTTTAAAGAATTTTTTTATTATATGAATCAATAGTTTTGTATGTAATATTGAATCATGTTTAATCCATAAATTTAATAAAAATTATATATTTCGAAGCATATGAATTTGCATTTTAATTAACATTATTGATAAATAAAGCTAATTCTTATTTAACAAAACAATGAAATTAATCAAAAGAACACATTTTTTTACAAATTTTTTTTATTTAAAACAATTAGAATTACATGAATATTCATGGGTAAATTTAGAAGAAAAAATATTTAAATCTCATTACTAATGACATTGGCCAGCATGATAAATGGATCCATCATCATATAATTAGGACAAGTTATCATTCCACCGTAACTTTCATAATCCTAAAAAATTTAAATAAAATTAATATAATAGAATCTAATTATAAAAATATTCTGATTTATAATTGCATTTACATCCACATCTATAAAGGAAATTTGCATCCACATAGTCATTATTTTCATTGTCTTCATTATTATAGTTATTGTATTCATTATCTTAATTATTATAATTGTGACTATTATCATTACTTTGGCCTTTTTGTGGATGCCCACATGGACTCTTAAAATATTTCTTAAATAAATAAAAATTATAATTAATAAAAACCAAAGTTTAATTAAAACTCATTATTATCCACGCCCTTCTTTTAGTTGATGGACTTTCATTGAATGTTCATCTCGATATATTTAGATGGTTCTTGTTTTAAAAAAGATTAAATATAATTTGATAATCATAGAGTGCATGTTTCAACATTTTTTGTCTTTTCCACCAATTCAAAAATAAACAGCCTGCCATAAGGAATTTTTCGAGGTTTAAGAATTTCCATAAAAATACCTTTATTTGGGTTTCATACGACTTCCTGTAGCGAAGGAATCCAAGTAAGAACAACTCCTGAGACTAGGGATAGTGATATTCTCAATACAATTCCGTGCACATCCATATTATAGTGAACAAACATTTCATTGTTATCTATTAATTATAATTTAATTTAAGATATATTGCAAGAAAAAACATAAAAAATCATATTAGTCTATATAAAGAACATAAAAAATTTAGCAAATGATATTTGAAACAGTAGCTTGATGGAATAATTAGGTTTATTTTTATATTTTAAAGATAGAAATGTAATAATTATGTAATTGTAATTAGTAATTTAAATTTTTTTTTATCTATTAAATTAATATTTGTAAAAATGAAATTTGAAGGCACAATTATGTAATAAATTATGAAGTTATTTTAAATTATGAATTAAAATTCTTTATGAAAAATATATTTTTTTATATTTAAAAAATAAAAGTCCATTTAATCTTTTCTAAATATAAATAATTATTTTATTCTTTTATTCTTTATCTTTCTTTTATTTACTTCTCTTTCACAATCTCTTCTTCCTTCGTTTATACAATATTTATGTAAACATCATTACTTGTATCATATAAATTAAACTGATATTAAAGATTAAGTCGAAAAAAAATATTGGAGTTGAAATTTTCTAGTTCGAGCATCATATCAATTATAGAATATATTATGTCATCATTATAAATTAAGATTTACATTGATCTTAAATCTTATGTGTAACGTGATTAAAAGCATCTTCTTCTTTCTTAAAAAATAATACTTTCCAGCTGCTAAATATTAAAGGTAAATTTCTCATTAGTCAATATAATTTAAATAATAAGCGAAAAGCAAGTGTAAGAATCTTTTGTCAAGCTAGGTGATTGTTTTTTTCCAACACAACAAAGACTAATTGATGATACTTTTTGCTGTTTTCATTTTGAGAGCCTCACGATTTTAAGATTTCAATTGACACTTTTTTCTTCTTTATTGAGTTTTTTCCTCTCTTCTTGCTTGCTTATTTGTTTCTCATTAATACTTTCATCATTTAACATGATGTTATTTATCTTTTTTAACAAAACCATTAGTTCCTTTGGCAATAACTTGATCATGTGATCATGAGAAGCCAAACTTAGAAGAGGAATGAATGATAGAGATTATTTATCAAGGAAAATCGACTTATAGACACAAGAAACAAGCAAACTCGGGAACAGGATACTCTGATGCAGTTAAAGAAATCTAAATATATTAGACGAACAAAAGATAGAGATAGTAGTCAGGAAGCAGTGCTCAAAAATAAAATTTATAAGTGCTCATAAATACATATGGGCCAACAGATAACAGACAAAGCTCTGGAACCAATTGTAGAAGTAAACAGAGATGAGAATGTTCAAGATATTGAGAAGGAAAAAGAAACGAAATTAAAAAGAAATGGATGAAGTAATCAAAGAATATACGATACATAATATGGTCACATGGATCAAGTTGTTAGATTTATCCGATGGAGTTTGGCCTATAATAGCAATTTCCTTTTTCAATTTTCTACTAACATTTTTCCAACTTATTCTTTTTCATCAACTATCTTTTAATACTAATGATTTTCTATTTACACTATTTCTACAAATTTACTATCAATTTTTTTGTTATTTCCTATTTCTGCTAATGATTTTTATCCTTGCTGATATTTCCTATTTCCATAACACTTTACTTCAATTACTTACGATCTAAACTTTTTGCTTCAGTAATATTTATTTACTGATGTTATTCAATTTCTTTTGATTATTCTACTAGATATTTTTATTTTTATGAACAATTCTTTTTACCAATACTATATTATATGGTAATTATTTCTGTCTCAATTTTATTATTATTTATTTATTTTATTAATAATTCATTCTTATATATTCACGTAATATTTTTTAAGGTTCCAGAATGCATGCATCCAGCATCCAAACTTCAATATTCTTTCATTACATAAAGGATTATGGGAGACAAGGAAGGCTACTGGTTTATGTTATTTTTGGATTTGACAATTCAAGTTTTTATATAATTATCTGTCAAGATAATCAAATGCTATGAATTGTTGATACAGTATTTCAAAAATTTAAAATTACAGAAATGTTGAGAATAGTTGACGCTTTATAAAATCATAACATTTCATTCATTATATGGACAAAAAATGGAATTTCCATGCATTCTAATCCTCAGGTAGTTGTTGAGAATTCTAAAACAAGCATTGGTAATGTAGCTAAAACACTACTGTCTTTTTTTGACAATATTAAAATTATTAATAACTACAATTTATTTTCATGATAATCTAACAATTTATTTTTTTATTAATGATTCGAATATATCATTATTTTACTAATTATTTTATATCATAACAATTTTTTTCTAATTACTTGCAATTTCGGAGGAATAGGTCAGCCATCAAATTTCTGATGAGGAATGATCAATAAAGCTCATTTATTGAGGAGATTCCGATCAAGATTAATAATATCACCCAAAACCAGCAAATCAAACTAAATTTAATAATACTACAAATGTTGCAGATTACTTTGTTAAAACTTGTCATCAATGTTGGAAGTTTGTGAAATAATTGAGGTAAAATCAATTTATAAAAAATATTACTGTACTTTATTTTTTATTTGATATTGAAATAACTATAATTTCTACTAAAAATAGGTACAGCTACTTAATAAAAAGCAGGATTTAGGTTTACTTGCCATTTGCAAGCCAACATGATCAGATGTAGATATTCTTAATTATCGTAGTACATAATAAATGCATTCATAGGTTATTAATGATATGGCCATGGTAATTATTTCTGATTCAATATTATTATTATTTATTATATATATAGGATATAATTTATTTTTAAAATAATTCTCTCTTTTACATATATAAATTATGTTTTAAGTTTCTTTCAACATCCACACTTAATATCATCCTTCTTTTTGTAAGGATCTTGGAATTTGAAATACAAAAAGAAAACAAGGGGTCTGGTCAGTGTCACTTTGGATCTGATACTATAATTATAATGGAATGGTAAGAATTATATAATATTCAAAAGTTTATATTACCGAAATGATTAAGAATTTTACATATTATTCAATATAAAAATCATATTATTTCTTCAATTTCATTTATTACATGTGTTCTAATTTTCAAGGTGACATTTAGAGTTCATAAACATGCATTGCTTCATACCTGCAATGCAGCTAAAACACAACATATTTTTTGAAAAGGAGATCAAAATATCATTAATGATTCTATTTTATTAATTTTTCCATTAATTTTATTAATGATTTCTGATTATTATAATTCTCTTTAATACTCACGATTTTTTTACTAATGATTTCTACTTCTAACTCTTCTACTTTTTTTTTTAAATGATTTATTTATATTTTATTTATTTATTTATACCAATGAATAATCCTTTATTATTGTTCCTAATTCTAGTTTCTACTATACAAAATTTAGGGCCAACATTTTATTCGTTGCTAACATTTCTATTTCGTATTTCTATTTGATTTGAATTAATTATTTACTAATCTAACGATTCTCTTTTTACAATACTAACGATTTCTTTTCTATAATCTTCTACTTTATTTCTATGATAAGAATTTCTTCATTTTTATGTTAACATTTATTTTACTAATATTTATTCCTAATTCCCATAACACTTTACTTTAATTACTTCCGATCTTTTTTTTTTAGTTTGTAATATTTGCAAGTATTACTAAGGATTTTTTTATTCAATTTCTCTCGACTATTCTACTAATTTTTTTATTTTTATGAACGATTCTCTTTATACCAATAATCTATTAACATGATATGGCCATGGTAATTATTTCTGTTTCAATTTTATTTTCATTTTTTATATTATTTCTTCTATTTATTTTATTTTTTTAAGGTTCCTGGGTGCATCCATCCAGCACAAAACAATATTCTTTCATTCATCATGCAGATAAGAAAGTCATATAAAGCTAGGTTGATGTTGTTTTTTGATTTTCAATCCAAGTTTTCATATAATTACATAGATAGTATGAATTATTAATATTTCAAATCTAAAATAGACTTAACAATTTCTTTTACTAATTATTTCCTATATTTTTTTATTAATGAATTTATTCATATTTTATTTATTCTAAACGAATTATTCTTTATTATTTTTCCTAACTCTAATTTCTACTATACAAAATTTATGCTAACATTTTTATTCGCCGTTAACACTTTTATTTCTTATTTCTATTAATTTGAATTATCATTTTATTAATATTTGCTAGCAATATTCTTTTTACTAATACTACCGATTTCATTATATAATCTTCTACTTTACTTTATTTCTAATGATTTTAGTTTCTTTTATTTATGCAAGAATTTTTACATTTTTTACTACAAACATTTATTTCTACTAATATTTATTTCATTTAACATTTTATTTCTATTACTAATGATTATATTTAGCAATTTCCTGAAGGAAATTTGGTTTCTATTAACAATTTTTTCATTGATGACTCTTTTTTTTTCTAATAACGATAATGATTTCCATTTTTTAACTAACTTTTTTTATTATCATTATTGTTAACATTGATTTTATTTATTTTTTTTTATCGAAGAG